AAATTACCCGTTCGTTGGGTGCCGGTATACTAGTCGGCGATCCGGCTGGGTGAGGGCCGCTTCGTGGTGGTACTTCGGAATCTTCCGTTCCACTTGGTAGTTTAGTCGACTGCACGGCCGCATCCGAATTTGTGTCGGTTGGTTGCCGTTCCGGGCTAGTCGGTTGCTTGTTGCCGACTTCCTTCTGCGCGACCTCTGTGGTCGGCATCTGTTGACCGGCCTTTGAGATTGGCGAAATCCTTCCGACCTGTGTGGTCGATTGGACTTTGCCGACTTCTGTTGTCTTATTTTCCATTCCAATCAAGGTCGGTTGTTCGACCTCCCGGGTTTGTGGCAGGTCGGCCTGCTGTTGGTCGACTTCCTTTGCCGAAGGTCGGTCGACCGTTTGTTGGTCGGCCGCCGTAGTCGATTGTTGTTCACCGACTTCCTTGGTCGGAGATTTTCGCTCGACCTGTGTGGTCGGCGATTTCCGTCCGACTTGGTTAGTCGGTATGTCCATATTGGGGGAGGTCGGCTTCGGCACTTCTTCCTTCCTGTTGGGTGATTGCCGTCCAAGCTCGGTGGCTTTTGTGGCCGTTACCGAGTCTTGAGCTCCGTGTGAGTTCGACTCCAGGTCGGCATGAGGCAATGTGGTCCCTGCCTGCAGCTGTTCCACATCCCCCCCCGGTCGGGTGGGACGGGGCTGCTACGTCAGCTGGGGCTTCCAGGAATGTTTTATCCCGGGCATCCTCGAAACTGTCATCCGAGGTAGGATTCGAGTCGGCAAGGAGGATCCGTTCATTGCGTCTCTCCTTTGCTTCGGCCGACTTAGTCGAGTCGGTTGAGGACGGCTGACTTTTATCCTGACCGGCGTACCGGAGTGAGTACTTTCCGGTCATGTTCGCACATCGAGAATAGTCGGTGTTGAACTTTCTCGCGTATTCGTTTTCTCGGGGATTCGACATTGTTGTCAACTCGGGTCGGCTCTGGTGGAGCCTTAAAGGTTTTATCAGTTAGAAAAAGAAAGTCGAACAATCTTCTGTGTGAAGATGTTCGGTAAAGTCAGGAACGTCTTTTGGTTCAGGAACTTCCGATTGTCAGGACCGTGTCCGGTGAAATGTTGTTGTTGTTGTTGATGTGTCTGTTGGTGACTCAGTACACAGGGTATTAATATACAGTACAATGGTACAGTACAGTACGTAATAGTAGTACGGTGTAGTACGTCCTATGTTACTGTGCTGACCAGTATGACGTAACAGGTTAAGTGGTCTTGCACTTCTGCCTATGTCACAGAATGTGAGCCGCGTGCAAAAGTTACAAAAAACGATGAATCACGCCTATGTTAGGCTATGGGAACTTTCCCCTGCACGCTGATTGGCTGCTCCTTAAGTACTGATAAGCGGTCGTTATGACGTCACAAGGAAGTTCGAGAATTTTCGCGCTATTTTCCGTCAGAAAAAAAAATTATTTTTGGTCGGCTAGAAAGTTTGTCTAGTCGGATTTTGAAGTTTTTAACCGTTAGAAATTAGTTTTATTAATTAGGGAAATTTTCTGATGGTCGAAAGACCGTCAAAAATCGAAATGAAGAGAATTTCCGACTTGTTGCGGGCTAGCCTTTGTCTATCTGTCTAGACAGGTTTGTTGACCTAGCAGGTCGGTTCTCAACCAAAAACAAAATTCCGAATCGGTTTCTCCGTCAGAAATTACTTTTTAACCGTTAAAAAGTTAAATTTTACGGATAGAAATCGTTTTCTACCGTTAGAAAGTGAAATGCCGACCTAGTTTCGGCTAAAATCGACCTAGAACCGTTACTTTACCAGTGTCGGTGTCGGTGTCGGTTCCGCTCGATTTCCTCCGTCCGAGGTCGGAAATCCGTCGTTTCCGAACTGAGATCCGCGGGTAAAGTTGCGGGTCGCTGTTCAAAGCAAAGGTCCCCGTATTATAGGATTAATCCGTTCGCGCTGCAGACTCTCGTTCGAGTCTGATCCGTCAGTTGGGAGAGAAAGTGTCCGTGCTGTTGGGAATGTGCTCGTCAGTGTGGAAGAGACCAGGAAAACTGTGCTCACCAGCTCGGTAAGAATCACTTCAGTGATCTTCGTTTTCCTCAGCTGTAAGACGATGCGATCAGTCCGATCAAAGTCAAGGCAGAGATTGCTTCAGCAATCTATCTGACAGTGACTTTCAGGTTCCTCACGAGTTCTCCGCAATTCAAGCCTTCACCGTCTCCTCAAAGGGTCCGTAAGATCAAAAACCTTATGATGCTGCTACCATGTAACAGACAAGCACGAGGAGATCACGAGTGAGCTTTATTGTACAAATAAAGTGGGAACAATGCTGCGTGATAGCAGGAAAGCAAGAACAAAGCACTGATGGCTAATAGCAAGTGGATGCTAGGAAGGTTCTTGAGCGTCTGATGGCGTGAAAGAAGCAACTGGCGGCAACCACGTGCTGTGTGCCATCAGCTGTGTGATGATGCGCAGACTGGACTCTATCCAACGCGAGCGTATGAACGCTGAGTCATACTGCGAGAGAGGAACGAGAGAGCAAGTGTGGCTCAGTGTATGCGCTGCGTATATCCGCTTCAGCGGATGAGTACAGTGCAGCAGCACACGTACGTACAAGCGAGAGAGGCGATAACGGCAAGCAATGAGTGCAAGTACGTCCTGTGTGGACCGTACGCACCAGGCGCAGTCGTACGCCTCTGACAACTGTCTTCAGTACTTCCATTAATTTTGTTGAAAGTACAAGCGCCCCATGAAATCTAGGTGTTTTGAATACGGTAGTCTAATCTTACAGCTCCATGTAGGATGTGAATCTTGTAATTATAATGAAGCGTTCGCAAACGTCCGTTTCGTGGACCCTGACCCTTTTCATCCCAGGGTACTTTACGGTCCACCATGAAACATGCATTAAAGGTGCTGAAAAAACCGCCCCACAAAAAACTGTCGCACCCCAAGGGAGATACCAGCCAGCGAGCGAGTTAGTGTCGTAATAGTACGGCTTTTGTCCGATTCCAGTTGTCACTCGTGGAAGTCGTGCTTGCCTAGCTTCTGGTACATACAAATGAATCACCAGCGCCAATCGACCGCCAGTGCAATGTCCGTTAACGCACAAACTGAAGACAGCGTTTAAAGATAATCCACAATTTAAGTCAGTGGCAGTTTCTACCGGAAAGTACTCTAGCAGTGGAATGTTAAAAGAAAACATGTACAGAATCGTAGTATTGAAAAATGCTTATAGTAACATCAAAAGAAGTGCCAGTTATTATCAAACGGCGCGTATAACCATATGTCGTCAATGACGTGCAACTAATTGATATCCCACGAAGATTAAAGTTCTGGTTTTTTCGGCATGTGCCAAAGATATATGGGTCTCCTTGCTTTTTACATGTTTCAACAATGAGCCGAACTATTATTAAAGTGGTGACAGACTTAATACACACACAATAATTGTATGTTTGATGTCGATGGTATCAGTACGAGTGCCTAACATTGATCAGTACGAGTGCCTATATTGATGACTGATCAGTGACCAACGAAAAGTCGCTCGTGCCCTCAATCAAGATCTAAAACGCTCGATAGCACGTCAAAACACTAGAACCCAACGTCAATTCTGCATAAACAAGGCAAAAATTCTCAATTACTGTATGATCACTGACCAGTACACTATTACAGCAATGACATCAAGTAGGTTTACCGTTATACGAAGACTCAGGCAAAGCCCCGACTCTGTTGCAACATTTGCGCACCTCGTTCTGCAGTTATTCAGTGTCTGTAGTAGCATTATACGCTGGCCCTTATAGTTTCTAAATTGTGGCCGACTTCTTAGAACTGAGAGTTAACCCCACAAGCAGCATTCGCTTTAAAATGAATCCTGTCGCATTTAAGGCAACTCCCATGATCGCCATCGGCATCGTACAACTGCTTTGCGGTGTCGCCATCTTCCTTGCCGAAATTCTATGTACAGAAACGAAGAATTTGTTTTACAAAAACAATTCCCGTGATTCAAAATTACAGTAATGAATTATCACCATCATTTTTACGTTTACTAAAATACTTAATCATTGTAGTGACGAATGTTATTTTGCATGTAATATATTTCATTGTCGCGTTGTAGCGCTGTGGGTGCACAGATTCCCCGCTACGGGCTTTTCTGGCATCTTCTACATCATCACCGGTTCAGTGGGCGTGACTGCCGGTTCCAGCGCCTGCAACTCCGTTGGTTCGGGACAGCGTCTGGCCAGCACTTCGCTGGAACTGAGGTTCTTGTTCGTTATGAATGCCTTCGGTCTGATCAGCTTGTGCAGTGTTATCCTGCGTGAAACATGGTATCCCGCATACCACTGGCATGGATACGACATCGCCGGCGCCCAACTAACATTCTTCGTCATCGTCCTCATCGCCAGCATCGTCATGTGTGTCATCAGCACCCGGGCGATGAACGCCATGCACAGCAACACGGTGACGACGGTGACGCACGTGACCTATGGGCTGCCGCAACCGGAAATGGTGTGGAAGGCCGGACAGTATCCCGGTCAGCAGTTTGCCGCTTATTCGAGACTACAGCCGTACGAACTGCCGCCTGTAGGTGTCTGTGAATCGGGGCAGTAGTCACCTGCACCTACGCCTATATTAAACTTGTTAAGCATCATAGCGCTTAGATGGGCGCCTGTGACTGCAAATTTTATTGAAAGTAAAAGCGCTTAATCACCCCCGGACTTTAAATACGGTATTTAATCTCCATTTTACAAGCCCACCCGGATGATGAGCGAAATATATAACTATTAAGCAATTCGGCGCGCAACGCCACAATCTCTGCATGCGTTTGACATGGTTGGTGAAAGCCATGATGTAAAACTAAATCTTGGAGGTATTAATTAAAATACAACATTATAATTAAAAAAATAAGCCCCGATTTGTTTATGTCATGCCTGGTCCTCCGCAAAACATAACATGAATAACATGCGGTGTTAAGGAACTAGAGTAGGTTCCATCGTTGCACTGCACATTACGTTAGCCGCATCAGTGAGAGATTCACCGTGCTGCTACCGTCAGCAGCTCCTGTGTTCCGTCCACGCCGTGGGGCCGCGTCGTGCGCAGAGCGGTCATGCTGCGAAAGGTGAAGACCGACAGAGCGATGCTGATGATCAAGATGCACAGCGTGGCTGTCAACTGGGGCCGACAAATTCCTTTATGAAGCGCTGACCAATGAGTTCAGGCAGTTTTGGTAGCCATAGTTTGGCATCGCTATTCAGAATAACGGAGCACCACACCAGCATGGAGAAGGAGCTGAGAACCGATACGATATTCAGCACAAAGCAGCTGACCGCTAAGCAACGGGCACCCGTGCTGGGCACCGGCTTTAACTGGCTGGCGCCGGCCGCCACGCCCAAGGCGCCGCTAACGATGTAGAACAGTCCCAGGATAATCCCGACGAAATTTGTCAGGGGAATATACTGTACAGCTAAGGCTGCAACAATGTAATTTTGACGTTACGCTACCTTATACAGTAGATACTCGCGCATGCACTGCACAAAACATTTCGCGGCTAATTTCTGTTGATTGTGAAATAGTACAAAGTGAACAAAACTTTAATGCACTGACTTTTATGTTTTTGTTCTTTTTCTAATACTGTATTTATTCAGATTAGCGGTACAAAAGTCTTTTATGTACTGTATGTGTAGCACACTTTTATATACGTACGTTGGTCAGAGATACTTACGAATTGCATCGGCTACAAAGATAATAACGCCTCCCAGAAGCTGGATGATAGCCAGGGCGATGGTAGCTTCGGCGTTCGATGCAGAGGGATTCATTTTACGTATACCAACTTACGAACCGGCTGGTATTGGGGCGAAGTACCAGTTGTTCCGTGCAAAATGAGAACCGTCTAATGAATTACAGAAACTGAATGGGAAACTGGTAACACGGATATTCGAAGACCCGACGGCCCGCTGCCATAAAGCTCAACTCTAATTTGTCAGTTACAACACTATTACGATTTTATACTGTATAGCGCTGCCGCTTCGCCTCGCAAATCTCCGGCCAAATCACCAACCACAAACAGCATTCCCTCAGTTTCGACGTACTGTGCCTATCTCGCAGCTAACCGGAAGAACGTCATCGTTACTACCGTTCTCTGCAAACGGTTTTATGGCTTTTAACGGTTGTTAAACACACGGTAACCACTGGAATGGCAAGTATAACACAATTTCCGGCGCACACAGCCTGAATGATGACTAGTGTCATCTTGTTGTAATTTCTTGACCGAACCTTAGTCACTGAAACTGACTATGGAGTTTCCGGCACGGACCAGTGAATCACCAGCAACATTCAGCGGGAAATGCAATATCCGTTGAAGAACAAACTGACGATGGCGTAGAAAGATAGTTAGCAAAATGCTCGAACGTGGAAAATGTTAAAAACGGACATGAGCAAAGTTTTAATTTATCATCTAAAGATCAACCCCACCAGGTTGCCCCAACGAAGCAATTATCGAATAATATCAAACAACACCAAGTGGTTTCTGCCAGCGCAGGCGTTTGTATTACGTGAATCGTCGGCTGTTACCAAATGATCCTGATTGCGATAAAACGGTTTGGATAACCATGTGTTTTTTTATATTGTTTCTCTGGACGTGTGCTTGTAATTAAACAGAGGGAAGTTGACCAATCGAAACACAACATAGCGATGAAATAACTCTTTAAATTGGTGACCAGTTAAGTTGATCAGTTTTGGCATTATACGATTACTCGTTCATAAACATTTTTTAATCTTTATGGGGCAAAAGTCGCCTGGATAGCAAAAGGTGCATTCAGGCGTAATTCACATTTAAATGTATACGTGACTACGTCGTATATCCATAGTGTCCGAAACAGCAACAGCATTTCCTTTAACAACACCCAAGCGAAATCGCTGCTAACTTGCTGATGGATTCTCCAGCATCTTTACCGCAATGGCACCGCCCAAAACGCGCCCGACTCAGGGGACGTCCGGGTTGTGTTGGTCGCGCGCTGAGCCTTCAGAACACGGTAAATGCACACGGACAACGCGAAACTGACAATGGTCATAAGGAGAAAAAACGCTATCTGCCATCCGGAAAATCCCGCTACAGCTGGATGAACCAGTCTCCCTTGTTTCGTATAAGTCTGCTCCCAGCTCTCCTCGTGGGCATACCAAAAATCCATAGGGAATTCAGTAGATTGTTCAGAATCACCGAACACCAGACAAGCATGCTGAAAGAGCTGCAGGTCGACACGATGTTGAGGACCAAGGAAACCAGTGCCAGACCATGGGCGCAGCGAGCGCTGATGGTGTTGTGGAAGACGGTGCTGGCGGCAATGGCCACAGTGCCGGTTGTGACGTAGATGAGGCCCAGGACAATGCCGACACATTCGGTCCAGTGGACACGGTAGAACGCCAGCGCTGCAATCACCGCAACACAATTGGTCATTTTAGAACTGTTAACTGCACTAGCCACGCCGCACACACATACCAGCTACTAAAGCGATAAAAAAGTATTAAATACTGTAACTGAAACAGAAAGCTAAGCTTTTGTGCAGGAAAGCCCTCGCTACGAGTACTTTTACGACAAGTCTTACGTAGAATTTCCAGTGTAAAAACGGCGACACCGCAGAGAATTTGAAAAATGCCAAGAACAAGGACAGACTCCCGGAAACTGGCGCCGCTGGTTCCATGTTAAGATTACGTCCACTATTACGGTACTTCACAACGATTAAAGGTCAGTTTGTGTATGTGATGATGGAAGCGATAAACCAGGTTTCGTAAAAGTATATAATTATTAAATCAGGGCTACTCAGTTCAGTATATTAATTCAGGGCTGTTCAGTGCCTTATTTTAGCGGTACCTTGTTTTTAACCGAATGCGAGTGAAGGCGCAAAGACGCAAGTTAAATGGTGTTTCTTATCATTAAATTCATATGAGACGCCGGTGTATAAAGACATCGCATCCGTTTTTGAGCAGTGTTAATCACGAAATCAGAGCAAACATGCTGCAGCCTGGCAAGTTACGTAGTTCCCTGCATTATCTGATTTTCGATTTTAATCTCAAGGTAAATTAATAAGAACAGGTGATGGATGTGTTTGCGGTATTTCATAGTGTATGGCACTTTTGTTGGACTGACAAGACGTGAAATGCCGTGTGCTTGCCGCGTGCAGATCTGTATCGCACGATAACACGTCACAACCACAAACCGACGTTAAATTGTATGCGAATTTCCTATCCCGAGGCCCGGTATGCTGGGCGACCGCAGACTTTCCGTGCGGTTACTGAGGTTTGAAGAGTGCCGGCATGGCCGGAAGTGCGCAATTACAGCTGAGTATCTTACCTTGTGGTACAGATTGCTCACTGCCGGCACCTTCCGCCTGTGCCCGGTCCCTTCGCCCCCAAACAAACTCTTCTCCGATAAAAGTTCGGGTTGGTAAGCACATCCGGCCGGATGTATCGGTCCACGCAGTCACTTTTCCATCGTCCGGCTCGCTTGATTTCATCCTTCGGTACTGCCTGTGCGGCAGCTTCCGTCGCCGCTCCAATGCGGAAACTGTGGGTGCTGAAGCGCAAGCGATCGGGGTGCCCTTCCAGGAGAGATTTCATGGATCGGTCCACTGTCTCCCGCGTGAGGTAGCGACCGTCAGAGTGGCGGTAGAAAGGCTTCGTACTTTCGCCTTGCAGCCTCCGCTGACGGTGGTACATGCCGATGGCGCGCACAGGGCACACTGAGCGGTTAGTGGCAGTGAGCTCGATCTTTGTGCCTGCTGCGCATTGGTCGGTCTTCGTACGTTTTAGTGTGATTATCACACACTCACTCGTCAACTCCACGTCGTCGAACGTCAGAGTTGAAGCTGCATCGAAGGAGTTCCGCGACTTACTGACGATCTCGCTGACGCGCATAAACCCGAAGAATGCCATGCAAAACGCGCTCCACAACATCAAGGCTTCTTCGGTGTTCTTATATTCTGCCAGTCGGGTTTTAAGCGATCGCATCACGTCCATAGTTATTGGTAGACGTCGGTCAGGTGTCGGACCATTGAGCCGCTTGTATCCGTTGACCGCTCGTATCACCAGGTCGTCGGCTGCTGGGTTAGGAAGTCCTGCCTCTCGGTGGTAATTGTGTATTGCCGCCAAGTACACTTTGCATGTCCGAAATGCTGCCTTGTCCTCGAAGAGATGTGCGACAAAGGCGGCCACTGTTGCCGGAGCTGCCGGAAGCGGCGTTAGGCGATTCTCAAGGCAAAACGTTCGGAAGCGGTTCAGTGAACAGTCGTACGTCGTGCGGGAGGATGATGAGATGTGTGCACCGAGGAGGCGCTGCAGAGTGGTGTTTGGTCGTATGTCTCCTGCAGGTTCCCAAAGATATCCGGACATGGTGTCGGCCGCTGCGAGGCCTGGACGGCTAGCTTCCGAAAACGCTCCGTCTGAAAGCGAGATAGAGCGTCAGCAATGCCGTTATCGACTCCGCGAACATGTTTCAGGGTTAATGTCATATTATTGTCGGCCGCCGCTCGTGTCAGACGCCGCATAAGATCAAGAACGCCCGGGCTGCTGGAGCGCAAGTGTGCCCATGCCTCCACAGCGCCGGCGTTGTCTGTATGGAAAACGATTTTCCGACGCCGCAATTTCGGCCCCCAAACAATGACCGCAAGGAGAATGGGAACCATCTCCAAGTATTCGATTGATGGCGGGCGCTGCAGGATCCACTGTGGCCACCTAAGTTGGAACCATTCGTTGTGGAAGAAGGCTCCCAGACCCAGCGTGGCGGATGCATCGGTATAAAAATGCAGGACGTCGGAAGTTGTCCAGTCGGGCTCCAAGAAGGAGGCTGTGCCATTCCATTGAGGCAAGAACGTTTTCCACCATTCCAGGTCACGGTGAAATTCGTCACCGAGTGTAACGGTGGAGCGTCCATGGAAGGTGGAAAGCATCATGATCATGCGCCTGGTAAACAGGCGACTGCAGGGTACACACTTTGAGGCGAACGAAAGGGTACCAATCAGGCTCTGGAGTTCGGTTGTGGTACAGGAAGTTCTTCCGCTCCAGGTACTAAGGGCTTCGGTGATTTCGTAGTGCTTTCTTGCGGGCAGGCTTAGTGTCTGAGCTACTGAGTCGAGCTCAATGCCAAGGAATGTCAGGCGAGTTGCGGGGCCTTCTGTTTTATCCAAAGCCAGCGGCACCCCAAGCTTGCTGCACACTACTTGCATAGACTGCATGAGACACTCGCACTCGGTCGTTCGCGGTTTGCCAACAAAGAAAAAATCATCCACATAATGTAGTAGCGTAGCAAGGCTGGCTTTCTTCTCCACACACCAGTGTATGGCAGTAGAAAAAAAATTCGAAAATATAAGGGGACGAACGGCAGCCGAACGGTAGTACAATGTCGTAAAAGTACTCACCGTTAACGGTGTAACCCAACAGATTCCAGTCGGCAGGCCTGACAGGAATGAGGCGAAATGCGGACTTGATATCCATTTTGGCCATCACAGCGCCTTTTCCTGCAGTCACAACCAGCCTGACGGCGTCATCTATTGAACAGTACTGCAGGGGCATGGCGTCTCCGTCAATGTGTTCGTTGACGCTGTCCCCGAATGGTTGGGAAAGGTCCATGATGGTCCGGTGTCCGCCGTCTTTCTTAGGACGGCAGCCTAGCGCGTTCACAACAAAATGAGGTAGAGGCGGGATCGGAAAAGGGCCAGCAGTGTGACCGAGAGAGATTTCTTTTTGGATGCTTCTGACCAGCACGGCGTGATGTATTCGTGCGGAGGCTGAGTTTCTCGTGTAGCGGCTTCGCTGCGGCCCTGTATATCGGATGTCTGCTCCGACACGCAGGGTATTGGCGATGAATTCTCGTAAATATTTGTCCGGGTGATCCGCGAGCAGTCTTGCAAAAGCGTCAGCACGCAAAGGCGTCTGAGCGCTTGCAGGCACTCTCGGCGGCTCAGCGAGACCCGCTTTTGCACTGTGGAGCTTTGTGGTCTTTGTCCCGGCAGTGTTCACAGGCGTGAAGGCGACGGTACCTGCACGGTTCACTGCAGTGGCCGTAGTTGTGATTGCGGCAGACTTCGCCCCCCGCTGCCGGGGCAGGTCGAAAGGGCGGAACATATCCGGCTTGGCCGCGGCGTGGTTGCTTGCACTGGGCGATATAATGCCCTAGTTCCCCGCAGTTTCGGCATTTGTCCGTCGCTGCAGCCGTCTTCTTAATTCGGCTTTCGTTAGCGCTGTCGCTGGCGGCCTCCTCGGGGACTGCGTTTTGAATATAATCGGCGTACGTGTCGTCGTGCTGCCGTGCCCACATATCGACTTCTTGAGGATGGCTGGTCATGAGCGATCTGAACTGCCGGTCATACTCGAGCCAATGGGCGGTCGGGACCCCCCGGTCGACGTATGCCGCAATTAGATCCTGGTATTTAGCCAGGGCGGTGGCCAGCTCCGGCAGAATTGTGACGCGGTATGCCAGGAATACGGAGAACGCGCGGATCCAAGAGGTGAAAGAGTCAACAACCACACGCACCTCGTTTGGCTTTAGCACCACTTGTCCTCTCGACATCACCAGCTTAGAGCCTCCATGCTTTGGTTTTTCCACGCGGTTTTTTGGTAGCAAGCCATCGAAGTCGACGTACCGAGATGGGTCCGCTAGTCGTCGGCGAACCCTGCTGGGAACGGCGGGCAGGTGCTTGGCCCGATTGAGCAGAGCGTTACGCATAGACGATGATGCACGGTTACCGCTGTGTTGCTTTCCGCCGGGATGCGGACCGAGGCGGTCGAAAATCGGCGGGCGGGCGGGGGAGCGGCTGCGAGACGACGAGCGGCTCCTTGAACTGCTGCTCTTACCTCTACGTCGGCGGTGCGAGCGTTTAATGCTTTCACCCCTCTGATGCACATCCCTCTTTCCATCCGGATGCGACTCAATCTGGATGACAGATGCAGTCGCTGGAGAAATTGGCCGGGGAACTCCCAGCTCCCTGGTTGCCAGCGGTGTGGCAATGTCCAGGAGCTGCTGGATTTGTTGCTGGTGCTGTTGATGTTGGCGTGCGATCAGGGTCTGTAAATCAAGCGGAGGTGGATCAACTACCACCACTTGCGACCTGATTGTGGGAGCGGGGGACGGGGATCGATTGCGTTTTCGACTGGGACGCGTGTTAGTTCGTGGAGCCCGGCCTCCTCTGGTGCCTCCCCCTGAACGCTTTTTCTTCGGGCTGAGGTTACTGTTGGGCTTCTTCTTCGGTGGCATGATAAGAGATTGTTGTGAACACCGTTATTCAACGGAGAACTAATTCAAAACGTAACAGTATGAACGCAGCAAAAACCACCAATGCAAATGTCAGTGAGCTGTAACGCACGAACGGCAAAAAGCACACGGCACCATGCTGCCGGTGCCGAGATGAACAGGGAAACAACTGCACAGGATACGTAAACTGCGCCAATTTAACATTAGCTAAGTAAAACTTAACTTTCATTTATACAGTCGTTCAGCGTTATGATCAGATGCACGTCTGAAATACGTCAAATATAAATTATTCAACATTCGATGATTAAGAATAAAGCATCGTAATAGGCAAGAATCGTACACACATACAAACTGCATATACGACGTTGTGCCACTTTATACAGGACGTGTAAATTTTCTATGTTATTGGAGCTGGGGTTATTACTCATAAGTTATCAGTGACACTTCCGTCGTGCTAATCGATATCATAACCACGCAACAATGGAGCATCAATCACGGTAATCGCTTAAACTTTCAGCGGAGCCGGAGGCGCGTAGGACTGCTGTCCCGGATACGCATAGGCACCGGCGGGCGGCTGTCCGTACGGCTGTTGCGGCGCATACGGCTGCTGTGGCGGATAGACGAACTGCTGACCGGGATACTGCGCGGTATTATACACCATTCCCGGTTGCTGCACCACATGCGTCACGTGTGTCACCGTCGTCATCATGCTGCTGCGCATGGCGTTCATGGCGCGCGTGCTGAAGACACATGACGATGCTGGCGATGAAGACGATGACGAAGAAGGCTAGCTGGGCGCCCACCACACTGGGTCCGTAGTAGCGGATAACGAAAAGTAATAGTAGCCGGGATACCAAACGGTGCTGAGGAAAAAGCTGCACCAGATGATCAGGCTGAAGGCGTTCAGGATGGACAGAATGCTCATCACCAGTGAAGCGATGGCCAAACACCGCCCTGATCCGGCGGGGTTGCGGGCGCTGGACCCGGCGGCTGCGCCGATGGAGCCGGTGATGATGTAGAAGATGCCCAGGACGATGCCGGTGTAGACCGTCCCGAGAATCCGTACAGCGACAGCGCTACGAATTCAGACCATTAAAAACACATACCTTATACGAAGTAATAGTAAGTAGAGGGGAACCCATAATATATTAGCGCAAAAAATCATCAAGTTGATTGCGACATTAGAATTCCGTTGAAAACCGTTTTTTTCTAATAAATAATTAGGTACTTACATAAAACATCAGTAAGGAAGATGGCAATACCAGAAAGAAGCTGAATGATGCCGATGGCGATCATGGGAGTGGCGTTAGCCGCTGCGGGATTCATTTTCAAGAGGCCTTCTTAATCACCGGTTTGGTAAGCCTGCTTAATGCAACTGACTGCAAGGTACGAGTAACTAACAACGTATGCTGATGGATTCGGCGTTTGTTATTAAATAAGTCCTTGTGAAATACAAATGATTACCGACTGATACGATTGTAGTTATTCGGAAAAGGCTAAGCACTGATTGACGGACGATTCACCGGCGGCACTGCATGTGATTGCTACAGAGCCTTATCACGGTCGAGACGTTATGTCAAAGCGTTTATAATCGTGGGTCCTTCCTAGCTAGCTTCCGTTGCTGGAAACCGATACCGGCTATTATTTCCGGGATTGCTGTTATCAGTAGAAAATAAGCGATAATGAATAACGATGCACTACCAAGTAGAAGGTGAGTCATATTTTCTTTTCTCATCGTTTGAACGTGTAACACTACCGCAAGGAAACAGTGAAGTTGTGACACTTCTGACCATGGTGAGACTTGTTCGCTGTGTTACCATACGATGCTCGTTTTAATCAGACAACAGACAGAACGTTTCCTTTGTTCGGCACAGATTTCGATGCAAAAACATATATTATATGATCATATCAACTAAAAAAAAAGAGCAAAGCCTCGAAGTTATCCGAACAAGGACCACACACGACAACCGTTATATGTACGTAATACAGTTGTCGCTCGTATAGACAATACTTTGCGGAGTTTTACTGTTGAATGGAAGATGGCAGCGTTGTGGCTCCGGTCCACATGCTGCACATACGGCACCGTGTGCCCGTGTGAAGCTTTCACCGTCCGCGCGCCGCAGACCGACATGACGATACTGGCTACGAACATGACGAAGAAGAAAACCAGTTGCGAGCCCACAACATCTCGTGCCGAGGGTAGAACATCGGCAATCAGGATGCTCAGCCAGATAGTATGCGCAGCCGAGTTAAAGATGGAGAAAACGGACATAATAAAAGCCGCTGCGGTCGGAATGCGTGGAAATTGACCTTCCGGGAGTGTACACAGCAGGCAAAGATTCCTAAGGTGCCGGCAATCATGTAGAAGATGCCGCTGAACAGGCCGCCGAAAAGCGTCAACGTCAGCGATGTTCCGTTAAAGGTCACCATGTCTAGAAAAAAACCGTCGCGCGTTAGTGAGACGTGCATATGGGATTCAGTAAAGAAACGGGAAGGCGCCGCTCAGAAACTCGCAAGCAATGTCGGCCACGAAGACCGAAAGGCCGCAAACCATTTGGACGGCCCCAGTGGCTGCGAGCGGACCTGCTACTTTCATTCCCAACAGCCTGCAAGGTTGAAACTCGCCAAAACGGAAACCTAACAATTGTTTATAACGTTTGATTGACCTTATGAAATTCCACAAAAAGATATGTCAGTCAGACGCTGTAGCGATCCTGACAGAACATTCGAGTTTCCAATGGATAAAAGTTCATAAAACCCACGTGAGTCGATATGGTTGGTTTATACATTTTTTATCTGATTAATATATTTTCGGTGTCGTTATTTTGTCAAGTGCATTCTCATATAAGACAAAGAATATACGTATCTTGTGCACGATACAGGATTCGAGCCGGCGTATTTTGATGCATTGGTCCAAGTCTGCTTGGTAGCCTTGGTATCTGCAGATAAGCATGTTTATTCAGCGGAATGCTCTGTCATTAACTTTATTGTAGCGGTGTATGACGAGTCAAAATTGTTCTGATTATCCAATTAAGCGAGCCAAAATTACTGTAAAGTGTGTTCGCTAAATCATGGTTAACAAACAGCTTCTGTGCTTGCTTCAGAATAAATACGAGTATCGTTCAAGCTACTACATGCACATGTTGTATTACAATATACGGTATTAATAATTAATATTAATTGATATCCGTATGTTAGGTGTACGCCTATCAGAAACAAAATTTTCGTGCATAATCAGTTTAATTAACGATTGCAATTGCATTTGGAACAGTAGCCACTGGTCCACAGCCATAAACAAATACCATGTAAAAGTTTTGGTTGCACATTTGGGTACATGATTGGAAACAAGGGCCAAAATTGCAGAATACCGGTGGAAATTTCTGCGCATGGAAACTTGACCACGAAAGTACTGTAGTCAGATCGAACGAACAGTATTAATGCGGTCAGGAATCTCAGGATGCGTACTTGGGCAGCTAGGTGATGTCCTGCCCGTCCTGGTCCACTTAATTATCTTCAGCATAGTCGCTTTTGCGCACCCCAAACACTTTTTTTGCATTGTACGAGTATATGGAATTCTGTAGCCGAATGATTTGTATACACTGACGTAAAAATCGTTGACGTTGCGCGTAACATCCGGTGGGATGCGAAACGGAGAATAATGGTTAACCATTAATGAATAATGGTTAATTTTGTTATATAATACAATTGTATTATATAACAAAATTCTAAAATCTTTGTAACGCATAAAGTCAAATATACTATATTCAGGCATGTATAGTACATGGTACTTACATCTGCGTCAGGACTTGGTACATTCAGATTTTGCGTGATTAAGGTGCATAGAAAATTAATGTGTTCTTGCACGTACGAACCAACCAGAGTTTGATTAACTGCATGTTTTTAAAATGAAAGACCCGAATAAAATAAAGACATTTTAAAGACCGGATATGCGTTTAAGCTTTCTGGAAGTTTCTTACAACAGTTTTAACTTCCCAACCGCATGTTGCGCCGTATAAACGTTACAATACTTTTGCGTACGTCAGTGTATCTATACCAGTATACAAATCATTTGGCTACATAACATATGTATATTAATCATTATAAATGCCATAAAACAATGCAGAAAAGTGTTTGAGAGTGCGCGACAAAGTTTTCGTGCAGGAACATGATTGGTTCATGTACCGGGCCACTTCCGCTAACGATAAGCAAGTTTGTATACTTATGGTTACTCGTTAGTACGTACAGTAAGTACAATACAACTACACAAAAACTACACAAAAATCAACCGGAAGCAGATGCAGCGCAGGTAGGAGATAGGCTTACAAGCCGATCGACTATACGAGTAGAGATTATCAGCTATCTAAAAACAAAGTACTTCTGTCCTTCAATAAAAAAAAATAAATCAATCAATTTGATTTGAGGTGCCATTATTTTTACGTTTTGTTTCTCGAGGTGCCCGTTGTAACTTGTAACTTCCTGGCGGCGAATTCCGCTCTGCGGGCGGCGACTTTGTGCAATTCTACTTGTACGCGTTCAGTAGCGAGCGGAAAATGCGAATAACGATCGGCTTACAGTTCGGTCCGCTGTACCGCCCGGCCTGCCATTTCGCTCGACAGTTCTCTTGATACTTTGGACTTTGGCCCGAATCAGGTCCCACAGTTCAAAGTTCCAGCTGAGCCGTTCGCCTTTTATGATTTTTTGCGCCTCCGTTGAAAAATTCCACACGCGTGTGCGCATGTGCATCTGCTGGAGTTCATTTTGACGCACACGGAATACTCTTCTCGATATACCCTGTTCTATCCTTTCTCCTGTCCCAGCATCCCCACATTTTGTGGCTTGTGCCGTTGTACTACTCCCTTCATTCCTCTGAGAAATTGCATAGTTTTGTTGCATGCCTATCGTCCTGACATGATGCAGCACGCTGTCAAATTGGTCCGCAATCCCAGCACGTTGTCGCTACTGCAGCGCCGTGCAGCCTCCACTACCGCCACCAGGTATATCGCGCCGTTCCTCTGCTGGAAAATATTTTGGGCATTGAATAATTTTGTGGGGAATCGTTGCACAGCAAGGCCGCGGCGCCCCAGCTGAAGGAGAAACCCGAGGAGCATCGCGAGAAACCCTCGCCTGCATCCAGTCCGCGTCCCTCCCCGGAACGCAAACCCGATGAGGCCAAGGCCAAGACCACCCGCGCACCGCGGGATCAACGTGCGCGGATGGAAAAGAAGGCCCAGGTACAAACGGAAAGACTGAGAAAGCAGTAAACCTGATTTTAGCAACACTTTTATGTAAATACGGCGCATACCCTATAAAAGTGGTGAGGATGTCGGGTATTGCTGGTACAGTGAACAAGGGACATGATTATTTGCGTTTGCATCTGTTCAACTGCTGGCACGAGTATCACCAGTCTCGTGTTCTGAGAATTATTGCAGGCTGTTTTTAGTACGGCATGCGCTAAAACGGTTACTTATCAGCTGATGAGCAGAATGTGATACATTCTGACGCTTTCAGGAATCGAAATCCTTCGTGGCCAATTTATTCCGTGGCCGCGCTGTGACTGAGCAGGTAAGCGTGCTGATTTTGCAATATTCACCAAATATCCGTCATAAATAACGCATATTTTCTATTTTTACCTACATGATTATTTCGGAAAAATGTTGTACTTTTGTGCTGGATAGTGTTGCTGTTTGCGCGTTATTTCCTGATAATTTGAGTATTTATTTATTACGAATATTTTGCTAAAAATCTGGAGATGATGAGGTGTGCAGGGGTCCTGAAATCGGTGGCCATGTGGACCGAGCGACAGTTGTGCGTGTTTCGCCGTTGGAACCGCGCTCCTGTCGCGATTCAGCACAGTCTGATCACAGATTTTATTCTCTTTTCATCATTTCATCTTCAGATACACGTTTCCCATTTTTATTTTACGCCAGAAAATATTGGGGATTTTTCATCATTTTTTTGCTAAAACAGTTTATTTATTTTATTTTCTGTTGTTTTTTTTAAAAATTATTTGTATCTCATCCAGTCTTTCCGTTAGTTAGATAATGCATACCGTCTGTGCGGTATTGGTACGGTATGAATATGTACAGTTTCATACTTTCTAATGAAACATTTGCGCTGTTAGTGTGTTCTGCCTAAAATCGGTGGTTAGAAATTGTTGGATATTTGTATGACGGTGTTAATTGATAAATTTTATTTGATTTCCCTAATTTGATTGAATGTATTGCATGATTCTGATTGGATAGATTTTACGGTAATGCTTGTGTTGTTGTGGCGTGCCAGATGTTCCCCTTCCCCGACGTGCTGGAGGAGGACGCCCGGGAGACCCTGCGCTCCTTTGTGGAGCCGACGCAAAAATTCTTTGCCGACACAGTCAAATCCGCGGAGTACGACGCCAAGGAGCAGGTGCCGGATAATGTCACCAAGCAGCTGGCGCAGCTGGGCGCCTTCGGCCTGCAGGTACCCCCGAGTACGGCGGTCTGGGCGCCAACAACACCATGTACGCGCGTCTCGGCGAGATCATCGGCGCCCACGATCTGGCCATCGGTAAGCCGCCTTTTTTCCCCTTGATTTGTCCGTTGGTCTGCAATGTGCATAAAAGGCTATTGCATTTATTTAGTAAAATAATTCTGAGGTTACCTGTGACATTTGATTAGGTTGCTTTTGAAGACAGCCTAATTAGTAGGCAAATAGTTGTTATGAAAAATCATGAACAGCCATTGGTAATGATTAATAAATCATAATAATTATGAAATGAAAATAGCACTAATTGATGTCATTACGTTTCTAGCATACAGGTTGACAGTTTGGTTCGTTTGTAGGGATCTTCCTGGGATCGCATCAGTCGATCGGGTTTAAAGGTACGCTACCAATAGATTATAGAATTCTGTAAATGTAAGCTGCAGCGCCTGACAGGTGGAGTTTTCTTAGGTATTTTGATTGCTGGAACGGATGAGCAGAAGAAGAAGTATTTACCGAAGTTGGCCGCTGGTGAGCAGTTCGCGGCATTCGCATTAACCGAACCCGGCCACGGCAGTGACGCGGCGGTAACAGTTGCTCTTCCAAAATCCCCAGATAATTACTGAACGGATGGCGATGTTGAATTGTTGGTTGTGTTGTAGAACATACGCACAAAAGCCACGCTCAGCCCTGACGGAAAACACTATATCCTCAACGGACAGAAAATCTGGATATCCAACGGTAAAATCTTCGTAAAATAAATTTAAATAATGAATTTTCCATTCTTTTTTAATTTTTCAATTATTTTTATTCTGCACTGGGATTGTTTTTAATTTTTGCACTGGGAGACCAGGCGATATAAACATTAACTGAATGCTGTTTTGAACGAAGCTTTGCAGCATGATTAAAATAACCGCGAAATAAAATGCTGAGTGAAATTAATTTTTGTACAATTTTCGTTGATCATGGGTATTTTTTATTGGCAGTTTTTTGTGCGCCAGTGTTCTTAAAGGGGTCTGCTTATTTTGAGAAATACACGCGGCTCCTGTATCAGTGTTACTAGATGTGAAAAGGGAAATTTCTCTGAAATATTCCGTCGTTTTCGCAGGAGGTATTGCCGAGGTGTTTACGGTGTTTGCTCAGGTAATGGTTATTTTGCACGATAGATAGTGGTTATTAGTGATGTTTTTGGCGTCCCTGTGCAGACGGATGTGACGGATGCGGAGGGGAATGTGCGGGAGAAGCCGACGGCGTTCATCGTGGAGCGGAAGATGGGCGTGAAGAGCGGGAAGCCGGAGAAGAAGATGGGCATTAAGGCCTCCAACACCGCCGAGGTCTACTTCGACGACGTCAAGGTGCCCGTCGAGAACGTCCTGGGCGGCGTCGGCAACGGCTTCAAAGTGGCCATGGCCATTCTCAACAAGTAAGCAATGTAGTTGTTTTTCGTATTCCATTTGAATGCTTAACAAAACTGCTGGAAAATGCACTCAGTATTTCGTGTTTCTGATGGAATAATTGTGCGCTTATTTTGTTTTGAAATTATTTCTGCATTCGGGTTTTCGTTGTCTCGTTTTTGTGGAGGTGACGCGAGTAAAGTTTTAATATTGGAAATTGTTTTTTTCTTAAAAATCAGGATTTGTGAATTTTTTGTTTAATTTCTGCTGAATTTTTACGGTTCTCCCCTGATTTCTTTGTGGAAGTATATATTGAAAATCAGATTTTAATTTTAAAAATAATGTTTTTGAAGAAACTTTAAATTATTCATTTAGCTTTATGACTGCAAAATTTATAGAAAATTGGAAATAATTGTTAAAAAAATTGGTAAAGAATTAAAAATTTTGAATGCCTTATTTTGCTGAGCATGAGCATGGTTGTTAAGTGGTCGTTTCGGGATGGCGGCGGCGATGGCCGGGACGATGCGGACGGTGATCGCGCAGTCGGTGGCGCAGGCCAACACGCGCTCGCAGTTCGGCCACCTGATCAACAGCTACGGCGCCATCCAGGAGAAGCTGGCGCGCATGGCCATCGCGCACTACACCACCGAGTCCATGGCCTACCACGTCAGCGGCATCATGGACCTGGGCTTCCAGGACTACCAGCTGGAGGCCGCCATCAGCAAAGTCTGGGGCTCCGTAAGTGTCTCGCTGCGATAACTCGTCATTGTAGCATTTCCACCAAGCGATTTATTCGTTCCATCACGTCAGTGATTGTCGCTGATTTCATCCAATATTTCCATAGCTAATTAAAAACCATAATACGGATATTTATTGGGATTTATATTAGTGAGCTTTCGCCGTTTTTTTATCTATTTCTTAGCCATGATTTGAATATTTATTTTTTTATGTCTGAGATTCTCGCTGATTTTAAGAATGATTTCAGTATAAATTCATAGCCGTAATCTGAATATTTGTCTTGATTTATGTCAGACTGTCAGTGATTCTCGTCTGTTGTAATAATTACTTTCAAAATAAATTGATAACCTTAATTTGAACATTTATTTTCAAAATGATGATTGAATAGTACTAAAGTTTTTTTAATATTCATTTTAATAATATTTCGCAGGATGTGCCAACTGTTTGAATAAGGATCATAATTTTATCTTCAACATTCTTCAACATATTATTTTAATAATAATTTCATTAACTGACGCGGGTTTTTATCAGCCGACGTTAACCTTATTAATGGTATTTTTGGTATTTTGTATACGGTATTTTCTCTCATCCGTAAAATAGCCGTATGAATTTTTGTGATTTTTGGCATACTTCTTTTCCCGAATTTATTGGATGTTTTTTACCAGTTTTTAAAATGACTAACGGTGTTGCACTGCCGTGGGTATTGTGGCAGTTTTTCTTGACATCCACTGCCATCATCTACAGGAATCGGCATGGTTCACCACGGACGAGGCCATCCAGCTGTTCGGCGGCATGGGCTTCATGAAGGAGACGGGTCTGGAGCGGATTCTGCGGGATCTGCGCATCTTCCGCATCTTCGAGGGCACCAACGACATCCTGCGGCTGTTCGTGGCCCTGACGGGCATGCAGTACGCCGGCGGGCATCTGCGCGAGCTGCAGAAAGCGATGAAGAACCCCCTGGGCAACATCGGCCTGGTCTTCAACGAGGGCATGACGCGGGGTCTGCGCAGCATCGGGGTGCGGATGGGCGGGCCCTCCTTCAGCGAGTTGGTGGCCGCGCCGGTCAAGGAGAGCGCTGATTTAGCTGGGGCCTGTATCGGGAATTTCGGGGAGACCGTGGAGGCGCTGCTGGCCAAATATCGACAGGGCATTGTCGGTGAGTCGCACAATCAGTTTTTTACCTTTTTATTTACAGTTAAAAGTCATTTTATTCATGAAAAATAATAACAGCACTAAAAAATTTGTACGCGTACAATTGAAAGGTAATCTGAATTTTTTATTGATTTATTTTAGGGAATAATTTAATCATCATTCTGACAGACATATGAAAGAGCATTAGGTTTAAATTTTAAAACCAGTATTCGTTTTCTTGTAAATTAAAACTTCAGTAACTTTTCGAGATGCAGTTCCCGTCTTGTGCGGGATTTGTTTTTGGAAGTTTTATTTAACCCATTTTGCAGTGGATTTTCTCGAGGAATATTTTTGCAAGATTTAAATTCAGTGTCAGTTGCATTTTGTAATGGAATGAATTTCACAGCCTGCGTTTGAGGGCGGTTTTGTTTGCTGATTCGTTTTAATAAAATTTGTTTTATCTAACTTTTATGACAGATTTATTTGATGGATTATTTGCATGGTAAATCGGTTGCAATTGTTTTAATTGGGTTTTAATACAGTAAGATGACGGTGATTTTATTTTAATCAAATCTTAATTGGTGTCGTTTAAAGCAGAATTATCTAATGGAGTTTTGCGTGATAATTCCGGCATTACAGTTGACATAGTTCAGTTGTACTACATTAAAAGAAGAATAGTTTAATTTGCGATTTCGATTAATATAATTTATAGCAGATACATTTGAAGATATTTTTGTGGGATAATTTTGTTGTATTAATTTATCCGTTTTTGAGCGTTGTGTTGTTTTACATGCTGATTGGGATTATTTGTTTGAGTAGATGAGCAGTTTTTGCTGAAGCGCGTCGCCGAGGCAGCTATGGATATTTACGCGATGACCGTGGTGCTATCGCGCGTCACCAAGAGCATCAACGACAAGGCCTCCAGCGCCGAGTTCGAGACGAAGCTGGTCAAGACCTTCTGCCACGAGGTACGTCCCTCCTTCTAGGGTTGAAATCATGATTACTTATTGGTTTTGCGGTTGAGCATAAAGTATAGACATTTTGTAATCTCGAACCGTTTTTGGGAGTGGCGATAACCATATCTTGATTTGCTAATGATATTTTGGAAACAAATATTTGATACAGCAGAAAAAGTTATTAAAGTGTGATAATTAATATTACTAAAATAATCAATTTTTTTAAATAATTTTATTTCACGTTTCATTTCATTTCTTTTCATTTCACGTTTCATTTCATTTCCTTTCAAAACTGGGTTTGAACCTCATGAATTTCAACCCTACCTCCTTCACCGTCTATTCAGGGAATCAATCAATAATATTTTAATCGATACATTGCGGTAAAAATGGCGCTAATTGCGGTGTAATTATGCTTCCATATAGGCGTCACAGCGCGTCAAGAATAATTTGGCCTTAACACGCAATCCCCGCGATGTGGCCAACTTCAAGAGTATGGCCGAGTTGGCCCGCCAGATGTGCGACGCCGGCGGCGTGGTGCAGGAGCATCCGCTCGGATTCTAAATTTATATGGGAAAAAGATTCTACCGTGGAATTTTGTCTCGTAGACAGGCCGAATTGTGTATTGTAGTATTTTTTTCGGTTTAATTTCAAACAGAGTAATTTATTTTGTTGTCTGTGCACAAGAGATTGGTTTGTCGGATTTGTCGTTTTAATCACATTTCTCTGAACATATGTCTCCAGCAATAAAACATTCAACAAAATCTTTTTATTTTTTTCCACCAGACTGGTTTTTTATCCCAGTACATAATTTTTTTTAATCATCCATTTATTTGGAAAATTAATCAATTTAATTTTTATTTGGAAAACTTAATTTCCGTTTATTATCAATTTATTTCGTTAGACATGCCGTCACATGCGTAATTTTTTCAGTTTTATCCCGTAACTCTCTTTATTGATTTTATTAGTCATTTATTATGACAGAAATTATTTATTATGTATTTTATGCTTTATTTAATAGGAATTAATTATTCCATGCATTTATCCATTAATTACGACATAATTTTTTTTACATCTACGTGTCGTTTATTTCGACAGGAATTATTCAGTTTATGTATTTATTAAATAATTAAATCAATAAGATAATAAAGTTAATTATCAAGCAGAGCACAGGGAGATTCAGCTAATACAGACACGTATAAATTCCTCTATTAGATAACTAAAATATCGCTGTAAAAAGTAAATTCCTTGAACACATTCTGAAAGAACACGAGCTGTGCTAAATTGCTAATACTCTAAAAAGCTTGTATAAACCGTATACGCACGGTAGTACCGTATTTTTTGACTAGATCGAACCAAAGAAAAAAAAACAAGAAAAACATCAAGCCATCTATATTTTTTAATTTAATTTTTCCTGGTGAAAGCGCGCGCTGCAAAGACGTTCTGATGTCTTGAGGAACAAAATCCGAGAAAAAGCGGTTAGAAAAGATCCCGTCATCAGGCCAGATCCTGCTTGGCCACCACCCCGAAGGCGGGGTAACTAGCAGCTACGGTGGTGTAGCTGGGCGGGGGATCCACCGGGACACTGCTGTAGCCCGGCGCCATGCCGTACTGCGAGCCCGTCACCACGGGCGGCGGCACCATCCCCACCACGCCGCCCGCCGCCACCGCCATCTGGCCCTGTCGGATCATCTCCGCGTTGCGCCAGGCGATGCGCGCCCCGATGGCCGTCATGGCCACGAAGCCGCTGACCACCACGATGGCCAGCACCAGGATGACGATCAGCGCCGTGGTCACCAGGGCGACGGCGGTGTGGACCTGCATGTGGGAGAAAAATATGTAAAACCAATAATAATAATAATAATAATAATATATGTACAGGTTTGTCCCGTAATTTCTACCGCATCGACAAAGTGACAAATTTAATATAAATTCACGGGTTATGCCAAACTCCATACTACGCCGCGCATCGCCACACTATTTTCGCTCTGATGCATTTGGCACGGCTGATGCATCCCAGATATCGATTTGAATTATAAAGTATCCATATAAATTATAAAATAATAATTTTTCTCCTTTATAATGATCTTAAATCTTGAGAGGAGTGAATTTTTCATTGTGATAGACGTTGTGCAGTGGCAATCATTCATTGCGCAATTTTTGCGCTAAATACCTTCTCGATAGAAATTACGGCACAAGGTTGTAATAATAATAGTAATAATAATAATAATAATAGTGCGAAGAAGAACAACACACCTGGTTGTGGAGGTGAGGAGAGGGCGTGGCGGTATCGTCGCTGGTGAGAGTCAGATGGATGCTGGCGGCCAGCATCTGGCTGACCAGGGCCGGGAGGAAGGCGGCCATGATGGCGGCCAGCAGGAGGAGCCCCAGACACAGGGAGTACAGGACGCAGAGGAAGGTGTTGAGGCCGCCCAGGACGCGGAAGGCGGTGAGGTTGAGGATGCGGCGGCGGGTGTGGTGGATGGTGCGGATGCCGTAGACGCCGGTGGCCAACAGGAGGCAGGCGCACACCAGCTGGGTCAGCACCGTGCCGGCGTCATCCGAGGTCACCCCTGTCGGGATCACGGGATGAGAGCGGTGTTAGGTTATCATTATTACAGGAACGCGCTTGATGAATTCGTAATTTTGCTGTGCCGGATGTACCGTATAATTATTGCATCGCATTTACTCGCGGAATATAGCATTGCATTACACAATATCAGTTGTGTCTCTTAGTCGAACATGTATAGATCAAAATTGATTAATAATTATATAACACATTTTGCAAATTAATTAGTACTTTACAAATACATTTATTTTGCAAATGAATTAGTACTTCACAAATACATATCTTTCGTACTTTCCATTTTCACACTTTGTCGTTAGTACACTATACTTCCAAGTTCCAAAAAAGATTCCAGAAATTTTTGGAGCTTTTCCAAAGTTTTCACGCCCTTAAAATTGTATACAAATCATTTGACTACAGAATGTCATAAAATAATGCGAAAAAATGTTTGGGAATGCGCGAAAGAGAAAATTTTTGTGCGTGTTAATGAATTTGTTACCATGTACCGGCACACTTCCCTTAACCTAAATCTATCTGTTTTCGAAAAGAAAATGATTAGTAGTGAAAAAGTAATTCGAGCACTTAATATTTATATAAGTACAATGTACCACGGATTAGACGGAAACATAAAAAATGTTTATAAAATTACAGCGAGGATCTAAAAAAAACAGGAGAAACGGAACAAAAATAGAAAATTTCCTGGTAGGCCGACATTAACAGTTTACTCTGACGCAAATTCTCGATCCGTATCAAAGACATACTCGTAATTGAGCTACTGTTTATCAGCATTTTAAGAAAATGATGTCAGAGATACTTCGAGCGATACGACTATTACCCGGGTTGTGCATTTCTCTACTCTAGTACAAAATGACGTAAATGTCTCAAAACAATTTAAATCTTGGAAGAAAAGTGTGAAAAAATGTTTTCCGTACGTGACGTCCTGGTTGCGGGAAAAGAAAGACTCCCAGCAGGAAGTCTTGAGTCTGGAACACTTACGGAAGAGATTGTACAGGCTGGGCACGATCGACAGCACACCAAACACAGCTTCCGCAATGGAGATCCCGTACAGCCGGGAAATCTGGTGTAACGGATAGTATCCATGGTCCATGGTCGGATACATTTAACGAACAGGAAAAACAGGTTGATTTAACGATAATGAGCGGAGATTCTCGGGAATGTGCAGTCTGCGTCAGGGAAAAAGTGGTTAGCTGGAAACCTGCACCTGCATAGTCGCTGTTCGTGGAGAAACGGCCGCGTATCGATCGGCTCACAGTGAAAAATTAATGAGCACAGCACGCGTACGGTGCTGGTGGTGTCATATGAGTGCAGTACGAGAAACCGGTTTGCATAGTACGGATTTCCTACTCGTACAAGTAGTACTGTATTTATATCGATTTGTTTCATGCACTGCGCTGCAACTGAACCGAGTAGACGGCGCTATTAAACAACTTTAAAATGGAACAAGCATAGTACGGTACATTGATAATTAGCGCTCGTAGCGAGTGTATTGATTGATCTTCATCGGTTCCGTGGTGCATGTACTGTATTGATGTTTCAGATTGTTTTGAAGGCTAACTACACGGCCGACACTAGCTCAGTGCGTTGGTGCTGTACAAATGTACATGCAGAAATCAGTCTATGTTTATAGCAGATTGCTGCTCTGTTTCTTTAATGATATTGATGAGTACCGCTGTCAGCCAGTGAAAATTAAGACAATCAAAAATTATTGTACAGTACATACGTATATGATTATTCGGTAAATGATGCATGTTGTTGTTGTTGTTGTTGTAGTTGTTGTTGTTGTATTTATTGGTAGAGGTCAGTTACATTTGGGTAACCGATGCGCGTTGGGTGACGGAGAAACGCGTAAAAAACTATCCATGACTCAGCGAAAAAATTATCGTCCAATCGTAAGTCGAGTACGCTTCCGTGCCAAGAAAGAAATTGAACACCGAAGTGGAACTGAAAAACTCATTTTTAATGTTGTAATGTGGCAAATGTGGCATTACGTCAAAAAATTTAATTATGAGTTTTGTAATGTGACTTTGGGTCGTTGGACTTACTTTTGGCCCAAACACACACAAATTTTGTCGAACTGTGCAGGAGAGTTACGAGTTACTCGTAGTCTGGGTAATGGTTGCGCTTCGACGTCGAAGCGCAACGCTTACGCGGACAAGTAAGCTGAAAACTCATCCCAGATTTTGTGACTGCGAATCAGAATGTTTACTTGTTTACGCGCTGTTACGTCACATTTTTCACCCGTTTCCCCGTTACCCGACGCGCAACTTTACCCAAATGTAATTGACCTCAACCACTGTTGCTGCAAGCGTGTCAAGTTGTAAACTTTGCAGTTCAAAAGAACTCGAAAATCATGAATTTTAATACAGCCTGTGTTGAAGCACTTCTCGTAGTTGCTACTTCCAGAGACAAGCTGAACCCGATTGCCATTACCACAATCCAGTTTCAGTTTTACACTAAAAACTAATAAGTACATAAATTGACCTTTACCTGTTTACCATAGCGCTCGTGCTCGACGGGCTAGCTCAGCGTGTAATTGTATCTGCATACGTGTTACAACATTACGCGTAGCGTTACAACTTTACAGACACTTTCACTGTATGACGACTTTGAAGATAAAACGGAAAAAGGAATTTAACATTAAAGATTTAACGGAAATTTTATTTCATTCGGTAAAATGCTTTTTGGGCGGACACAAGAAAAGCGCTCCACTCAGTTCTTGAAGCAGAAAATCAGTATTGCTTTAATGCGAAGCAACGCTGTTTGTGTACAGGAAACGTTCCGTATCGGTAAAAGGTTGGACGAAGTGTTTAGGTGCTGAAGTGATTTACCGCGTGATGTTCTGTTTCACCAATGTACATGTACATGTATATGTAAAGAACCGATTAATACTTTTCGGATTCAAATAAAACGCAAAAGTTGAATTGGCAGTCAAAAGTATAAGTATTAACGCGATTGTCTGTTGGGTGAATGCAGTTGTTAGATGATTCGCTGGTATTAACCGCAGTGGGTGGATGCAGTTGTTGTACAAGAAAAGGGAAAGGTTCAAATAAAAATATATCAAAATTCATAGAATCGTGCAAATTTGGTAGGCTTCCACTTCCCGGTCCGGCTGCGGTGCTTCCATGTTTCGCGCCAGGAACACGCTAGCATGTACGGTAACAGCACAACTTTATGCACGCAATCAAACTTACTTCGTACTGGGCACACGCGCCGCAGCTTCACACGGCTGATGCTGTCCAGTGAGTGGAAGATCTCGCGCAAGAGATGCGGTGCTGTTGGCAACACCCATTCCAATTCTGGCATTTATGGATCAGCTAGGATACTCGATGAAACAAATCTGCAAATTTGCATGGTCAAAGCTGGTATATTTGCACTCACAGTTATATCGGTATGACCAACCTTACTCAAGTACCAAAGATGGAACTACGCTCTAAATGTAGAGTACTCAATGGAAATTCCGCAATGTTTGGCCTAATATTTCCCACGCTCACGCGCGTACATTCACTCTCAGGATCCTGCTAGGATCCACGGGATCTGGAAGGTGTGCCACGTGATGCGGTATGTGGCTAATCAGCGAACCGACTGCGGCATCCGACTGCGTGCTCTCCTGTTACACTACGTCCGTCTTGAGTGCTACGTTCGCTGTGCTGTCGACAGTACCGATGTTGCCGAGTGTCGCATCCACCAGCGTGCGAACTACGGTCGTCACTGTTGAATGGATAATTTCATTACTCAATGCTGCAGTGGAATACCGTGCAATACCATTCACTTAGCGAACTGTGTTGCGGCTTTGGTCTGCCAAGTACTTTCCGCTGCGCCGTTAACGGAGGATTCGCAAATTCAGATGGAGATGAAAATTTGGTGCGCGCGACTACCGGCGCCGCTAAACGGCGATAGCGGTTGCGCGGTGTGGGATGCGTTGGAGGCGGCGCTGCCGATTCCGTGTGAAGAGGAGATGCATGCGTTAGACCAGCGGGTGGCAGTATACTTAAGTCCGTTTTCGTGTACTGCTGAGAGTATCATACGGAAGAACGTCGTCTGTAAGGTAGATTTGCCAGTACTGCTTGTCTTAAGCGGTGTCATCGTAAAGCACCGCTGAAATCTATTTTGCAGGTACTGTGTGCAGCGCAGTCACTTGACCCGCGTCCGTCATCGCACTACCGCGGGAAGGAGTGGTGCTTGGACGGTCCGAGAGAGTGTCAGTGGGAGAAATTGTCGCGCATTGCTTCGCACTTTCTCGTTGATTTGCAGAGACGCTTTGCTGCGCTTTTCCCTTTTAAAGAGAATTCTGTATACTTATCTGTTCGACGCTTTGATCGGCACTGTGCGCGTTTGAAGCGGAATTCAAAACATCGCGTTTGCTGCTGATTTACTTTGTCTTCGGCAGATTCTGTCCACTTCGCCAGATTACAGAATTTTTGGTTGACTGCATGGTAGAGTTTATGAAGGTGAAGGAAGAGGTTGGCTTATATGCTTTGCTGTACCAGAAAATTAAAGGTCTCCTAAAAAGTGGATCTTGCTTTTATTGTAAATCGATTCCACTGCTCATTTACACCGGGTAAGCTGCACGGAAAAATAGGCGGTTGGCACTAGTAAATCTTCGGAAAATGCCACACTCATTATAGTCGACTGAGCCTAATGTTGTCAGAGGACTTAACCAAACTTGAACGGTTTATTCAGCGCTTCTAGGCAAATGTGCTGGTTGTTTATGCTTGAAATAGGATGTAAGGTAATCGATTCAGTTATTAATACGGTTACCACCATCGGAAAAACACCAGATCACTGTGCGGCCCGATCGCAAGCCTTATTTATTAGAGCGTCCCATACGAAAGGAAGAAGGAATATTATCTAAAATGCAGCGGAGGATCATACCCCACTGACACACTGCTTCGTAACCTTTGTCAACTCCGTATCAGATTCCAGACGCTGCGATGTTATGTACAAAAAGAAACCCAGTAAAATAACAATATAGCATTTGCGCTGATGAACACTTTATTGGTTTTTGGAATCGGCTAACGTAGCCTAATGGAGTTAACGGTTTAATGCGTCACTCGGCCATCGAAAGCCGAAAGTGCACGGAATTTAATACATACCGGTAATTATGTGAATATTACTTACAAAAGCGCTTTCGCTCGACATTGATTTTCAACGCGTTCAACTGCATTTTATGATTTATCTGTAAAAAGGTTGCACGCCGGAGGCAGTAAGAAAAATAGTTCTGAAGAATTTGTTCCAGCCGCGCTCACGCGTAACGTACAGAAAATAACAGACCCTTGACAACGGTACTAGCTGGCTAGCTCTTCCTCCTTCCGCAAGCAAAGTCATCTGACAGCCCAAAGAAACTACGTAAAAATAACATTGTTGATTAAGAACTACATAAATATGCTGTTTGCAATTGTTTGTGTTATGGAAGTCGTCTGTAGAGTCTCCCGCAGACAGTGACAATGCCATGCCGCACCAAAGGCAGGCACAAAGCGAAGAGCAGCGGATCCAGAATCGGTTGTATCAGCGTCAACAAAACGCTGACGTGAAAGAACCACATAGGAATGTTAGCGCCGGCTCCGGTAAGACCTAAAGTCAAGCTGAGCAATGTGGGGAACCAGCAGATGACGTTGCTCAGTGTTAAAGCAGTAAATGCTACAATTGGGCGAATTTGCAGCCCTGGGGTCTTTTCTGCAGGATTCTGATCTTTCGCCTGTAGGAGAAAAAGACGGATTACGATGCAATGATTATTTGTATTACATAACCCAGTACCCACCCCGGCAGCTCTTCGCCGCAGTATAGTGTGTATGCACAATGTCATTATTACGTCTGCGCGGATAATGCACTAACTTAAAATGATGTTATTTAACGTTGAAGAAGCCTCCACAGTGCCATTCTGATCTTAAGGCGACTGCAGTGTAGATTGTAATACCTGTTTTCTGGTTTGCCGCCGCTTCTGCATTTGTGTATCCTTCAACTTTGTTAGCTCCGTTTTCTTTTGGTGTCTTCTGCAATACAGCCCCAGCACCATCGGATAGCTGAGGACGAGAAAGGTCAACGGTGTGTCCTTCACCACAATCTGCAGCATTGGAGCGTAGTTCTCGTCTATTCCGTATATTGCTATTCCTAGCGTGTTGGAAAGAATGTACGGAGCAGTCAACAAATGGGTGAATACTATTGTCGCACCGCACAATATCCCGGCCAGCTTCATATTGTGGTAAAGCCGGTAGTGTATCGGAAAGCTCAGCGCCCACAGACGACTGAAGGAAATCAAGGCGTGAATCTGTATCGGCAGCATGTACAAAACTTCCGGAACGTACACCGACAACGCATCGACATAGATATTAAACGGTTTCACGATTGCGTATAACAAGACGACCAGCGCATTGCCCACGCCCTGAACGATGTTGCAAACGGCCAAAACTGTCACGTAGAATGAGAAAGAACTACGAAAGGGTGGATGGAGGACGAACAGGAGGATGATGGGAAAGTTCAGAGCCACGTACAAAAATAAGAAAGCCGTGTTAATCTTCCAGTCGAAGATCCACGCTTCGTTGTAACCAGCAGCGATGTTCATAATGTTGGTATCATTGCGAAAGGCCGAAACGTTACCAATACCAGGGATAAGCGGTAGGCTTTCAAAGGTCAAGTTAGCATCCATTTTCTTGTAAGCGTTCACAGTAATGACACGGAAATAGTGGTTTTCGTCAAGTATTCCAGTGCTGAACTTAACGGAGCATGCGGTCTTTAAGTGATGGCGGAGAAAATTATGAAATCTTGACAGTAGCAGTCGATTTGCCAGATATGTAGAAAAGAATATGCGATTGGTGCAGAATCCGTGCAACACGGATGATCGAATCTGATGGCTAATGCACATAAGATAGCTACAGCGGCATTTCCAGCTGCATAGAGTGGGAAGCATCAGATTGCTGCACTATGCTAGCTTTTTCTGCTTCAGTCGATTGCCCTACCTGCGCTTTGATTCTGTGTGTAGCCAGCTACCGACGGAAGTGAGCACTTTGTTTGGTTTACACTAACTGAGGCGGAAGCATAGAAGGGGCGACGACTTGTGTGACTAGGCAGTTCGACTTCCGGTGACTTGCGGTGTTGTGTGGGGCGAGGTTTTGTAGCTGTGTACCCACGGGTGAGCTGGAAGCTCATCCCTGTTTACCGATGTACGGTGCGCTGCGCGACATTAGTGAGCTTCGTATGCCGGCAATACAACATTCTCTCGTCCGAGAGTGGAATATGAAGTACAAGACCGACTTCCGTTAACTGCTGCGTGGTTTGTAGTTGCTGCAGCAGAGATGGCTCTAAGGATGCTGTGACCTTTGCGTAAGCCGCCGCTGTCCGATTGTAATTTTTAGGAGATTAAACCTGCTTTCTCGGCTTTTCTCGAGTAGCATTCCGAGACTCCACCAGTGACAGTCGGCAAACAGCTATCGTTACAACCGTAAAATACAGTAACTTGTACAGCACAGTAACTAACGCTGCCTTTAAGCTATCAACCGCGTCGGTACGTACGGATCAACATACTGTGTCCGCAGCACATTACTGATTGTCATTCCATGTCCTTTGTCCTTCTCAGTACTAACAGCAATTCTAAAACCGAGGGTACAAAAATGTATGCTGACGCATCAATCTTTTTGGTTTTTTTTTGCGTTTAACGACATTTTCTTAGTGCTTGTCTTCTGAGAAATGCGGTGCTGATTTCATGGAGAGGTTATGGAGAGCGAATAAATCCAGAGCTTGACGGATACAGCGATTAAAAAAACGGGATCGGCAGTACGCAGGAACAGGATGCCATTCGTTCGCGTCAGCACTGCTCTTTCTTTGCTTGTCGGTTAACACTGAGGTCTGTGTAACGTCAAATCGCAGGATTTCAAGAGTAGAAAACAGGACCGGTGCAAACAGAGACTTTAATGCACCCAAAGTTTCGTAACGTCATCCTTTAATGCACCGAGCAAAAAAAACGAGGCATGACAACATTAACCGGAGTTCTTGCAAAGGACAATTTAAACAACTGAAGTTCCGGCGTCATTTGATATGCGTTTTCCTATCCGTTGCAGACGAAAGCTGGGTTTCAGTGTGCCATTAGAATACTTAATCTGACAGTTCCATCATTCAGTTCTGCTCGTAGACATGGTATCTTAGTCAAAGAGAGGAAGCAAATTGCGCCTTTATCCTTTCTTAAAAGATCGCACCTCGACCCGCAGAATTATCAACTGCCCGTGTAGGTTCACTACTGTTTGCACTCGTAATAATGGATGTCCATCGCAACGGATCTAACCAAACAAATTATACTACCGATTTGGATAATTTCACCGAAGTCCTGGATGAATCCGCTGCAGAGTTTCACTTTCTCCCTCCCGACAGTGGGATTTTCAATGAGAATCTCGACGTTGTTCTCTGCTGCTTGTGTTTGATGCTGAATCCGCCCATCATCGCCCTCTTCATCCGAGTGCCGCATCTCCGCAGTTGTGTCCCCGTCTACGTGACCTTTCTCGCCGCCTGCAACATCCTGCAGGGCACCAGCTTTCTTCTAGTGCTATATCTGCCGTACTTCCTCCTGAATATCAACGATGACTGGGATTATTGTGTGTTTTATGTATACTATCGAGAAGTGCTGCTGGCAATGCCGCTGCAGATGCACGCGCTGATCGCCCTGTCCCGTTTATGGGCCCTCAGTTTCCCGGCCTCATACGAGCGTCTCCACACGCCGGCGCTGGCCTGGACATTGTCCTTGGCCACGGCGGCAGCCACTCATCTCATTGTTCTTCCCTTTATTTTGTGGGATCGCTTCTTCTCACTGAGAGCGTCCGCTGCCTGTACTGGGAGAATCTTTGCCAGTGAAGCAATGGCTGATCTCTGGGCGGCACTGCAGATCATGCTGCATAATGTGCCCATGGTGCTCATCCTTGTCAGCTATCCACCCTTGTTCTGGCTGTATCGCAGGGAAGAGCGCCGCAAGGAGAAGCTCATCAAGAAACAATCGGAATTACTGAACTGTAATTGGGTCAACTTGAGCCGACGTGCATTTATCGATTCTATATATTTTCCCAAAGAGCAACAGGTATTGCTTAATTTGCTGCGAAATTGTTGTTAGAGTCCATCACGGCCACTATCTTGCTGAGCTTTATCTGTATATAAACAGGGCAGACTAAAAAATATGTTTTAACTCGACAAAATTCGCCAAGAAACGCTCTTGTCGATTGTGTCTCCTAATTGCACATAACGAGACTTGCGCACCGGCACAATTGATTCATTCTTATTTAATTTGTTTAGGTGCAGACCGTACAGTCAGTTAAAGAGAAACCGTTTTTTCGGATTAGCCCGTTCATGACGCTGACCGCGCTGACACTGAGCACCGTTATCTGCTGCACGCCCATGCTGGTCGTCTATGACATGTGCTTGACTGAATCGGAATTGGTCAATCCGTTCCTGTATCGAACTGCCTGCTTGTTGATACTCTGTCAGCCGGTTCTGGATCCAGTGTTTTTCGCGCTGAGCATACATTCCGTGCGACATGCAGTTGCTGTCGCACTCGGACGAACATGGGTGCGGCTGTGGGCATGCCTCCTGACTTTTGTTCGATGAGCTGCCATCAAAACTGATGGTTTGTTAGCTCTCTTGCTGTTAGGATTGCTTAGAGTACAGTTTGTTTGGACAGTTGCGGTTGGAATGGAACACTGTGTATGAATCATCATCATATCGGTGTGCAGATGTAAAAGACAGTAGACAGCGAAACTCTCGTACATAAAGAATAATGCGCTGGGATTACTCTGGTTGACGAAGGAAAATGAAGGAGTTGGGCAGAAAGCGTCAAAATGATAAATTAAGAGTGCCCTAAATGGGCGTTAATCCTTTAATGTTCTGTCATCTTAAATAAATAATATATGTATTTTCTATCCGAAAATCACTGTTGAATCCTTGATGGAACTCTTTGTGAATGATTAAGCATAATTTTGCATGGGTAGTACCTCTGGAATATCTGCTTTGTCAGCTACGAGTACGCCACCACATGCGATTACGTTATCACCTATCCAGACTAGTGCAACACTGCAACTACAACACCGATCGATACATCCTCACGGCAAATGTTATTCTGTACGTAAAATGTAAATAACCGTCAGGTGCACCGATCTAGAGCCACAAGCAGCAAGCTGCTTCCACCGTTTTTTTTAAATTCCGCTGCTCATCCTGCTTTTTCCATCGTGTAAAGTTTTTATTGCTGGAGGGTTAAATGATTGGCGTTTGTATTGCAGCTAAAACACCGAGGCCCCCTGTCAGTGGTGAAATTAATCCTTACCCCCCGAACAGACATTCGAAAAATATTTATCGAACGGACAACACTACTTGCTCGCTAGTACTCGTGAGTACGGCTGCCGGATTACACCAGATGTGAGCACTTTGTTAGATTCACTTAGGCCGATTCGGTAGAATCGAAAGACGGGATCAAATGTGTTACTAACTTGCAGCTAACTGTCGTGCTCATCTATTCCGCCATTCTCATTCCCACCGTGTTCTAGCCAGTTTACGGAACAGGCAGCAAGTGCGTGAATGTAATTGTTGCACCGCACCGGCTAGTTTTAGGTTACGGAAGCGTCGGTACAGAATCGGACAGCTGAGAGGGAGCACATAGACACTTCATGGATATCAAGGCGTGAATCTGTACTGACAGCAAATACAGCAATCAAAACTGAATCCGCCATGCACAACTAGCAAACTTCCCTTGAACCGTTGAATAAACAGTTCCAGTTAGGATGTCAGGAGAACTTCGAGTCCAGTGGAATAATAGGAGCGTGGTACTTTCCGAAGCTGAACCACCGCCCGTTATTCCGTGCAGCATACCCGGTGTAAATGAGCAGCGGAATCGACGTAAAAGCAAGTGTAAATTTTTAGCAGACTTTTAAGTTTCTCGTATTAAAAAAACTATATAAGCAAATCCCTTCACCCTCATAAACATTACCATGGAGTCCATTAAAAAGCGTGTAGCCCAGCGAATCAGACAGAATTTACAGGGAAAAAGTAAATCAAATCAAAACGGAACAGGAAACTCACGATTTGGAATTCCTCTTAGAACGCGCACAGCGCAGATTAAGGCGTCGCACTGGTACACCCACAACATTCTCATTCTTCAACAGGGAAAAGTTCGTCAAACCGTTTCTGTAAGTCAAGAAGGAAGTGCACAGCAATGCGCGACAATTCCTCCCATTGCAGATCTTCCAGACCTTCCACACACCACTTCTTCCCGCGATAACGCGAGGACGGACGCGGGTCTAACGACTGCGTGGCACACAGTACCTGCAAAATACAACCTCAGCGGTGCTTATGATGACACCGCTTACGAAACTGACAATTGCACCTTGGAGACGGCGTTCTTCATTCGGGTATTCTTAACAGTAAACCAACGTGGAATCCAGTCCACTGTCAACCGCTCGTGTAGCGCATGTATCTCCTCTTCATTCGGCATTGACAGCGCCGCCTCCAACGCATCCCACGCCGCACATCCAATATCACCGCTTAACGGCAGTCGCGCCGTTCCAATTTTCATCTTCATCTGAATTTCCCGATCCTCTGCTAACGGCGCAACGGAAGGAAATTGGCAGAACAAAATAGCAACACAGTTGGCTAAATGAATGCTGTTACACGGTATTCCAC